CCGAAACATTCCCCGGGGAATCACCGGTCCGTCCGGACTATCCCTGAACGCTTCGCTCTCGCCGCCTCCGATCCTGCCGCTCCTGCATAATTCACCGAAGATTTTCTCGCGCACCGAAAACGATCGTAATACTTTCCGAAGGTCGAACGTAGAAATAAGAATATACCGATTGATTCCTACTCCTTCATCTCTACTTAACTCGCATGAATTATAAAATTCCCAATAGCGAAGGGACGATTTATAAATTATACTATTTAAAGAAATGATGTATTTATCCGTCGGGGTTATTGATAAAGGAATTTAACGGCGACGAATCAATTTAAGAATTCTATTTGTGCGGCGGCGTCGATTAATAAATAATTCAGAGCACTAAACAATGCGAAAAATCGAATGTAAAATAGATAATAGAAAATGACACAAGCGAGACGTGAGCGGTTTTTCTGAACGCCTTCGCGGAGTTTCGTGTCGTGTGGTGGTTTCATTAATTTACCGCCGGCGTAGTTCGAGCATTTTTCAATCAAAGTAATAAATTTTGTATGGGAAATACATTAAGGAACGTCTAATGACGATCAAAAAAGGGAGATTAATAGGCGTTCTTCTGACTTGGACGGCGACTTTTCGACGGTCGCACGCTAAATATTTGATATATTGCGCTACGTTGTTTTTTTTAAGTTAACACTCTTCAATTCCCACACCTAACAAATGATAAAACTCATGAATTTTGATTACTATTTTACTACTATAATATTGCTTTTTTACCTTCACTTTTATAGACAGTTTTAGAACTAATAAATAAAAATATTTTTCTGTTTCATCAAGCAGGTATTACTCTTTTCACAACTTTACATGTTATACGGATTCAAAATCCGCAAAAGAAGTTTTCAACGATTTCTTAAAGGGATTTTTCCCCTTCTGCGGCAACGCTATAGCTAAAAAAGAGTGGATTCGGCTCGATTATTTGGCGTTACCTTCTCGTCATAATCGTCGAAAATCGCCGTTTACTTTTGATTCGTCAGGGTGACGGGTTTTTTATGTCCTATCTGGAATCGTCGGCTGACAAATTTTAACGACGACAATCGTGAGTGAATGCCGATTTTCGATGCCGATACGTCGTACTAATAACGCTAAATTGGCGTTAACGTTATCGAGATCGTCGACATTATCGGGATGCTTAGATAATCGGTCGAGATGACATGCGAATCGCGATTAAAATTGTTTCTTGAATTTATGTACTAATAGGATTGATTGGTCTTGTTTTTTTTCGTTCGTTACAGGTAGGTACTGCGATTGATTGGTGTTTTTTTCGATCTCGAAAATTGTTTAATAAAAGATTAACTAGTGGATGAATGTCCATACACTATATCGAGGTTTTGTGTAAAAAGTAGGTAAAATCGGTTCGTGTATGGACAGCTATATGAAGGGGGTAAAAGGATCGCGTGGATTTGATTTAAAATATTAAATAAGGCGGTTAAATTGTTTTTCGATTGACGTTAAATATTCAGGTCCTGCGTTTTTCGGAGGACCCATTATAGGTCCCATTATCTAGGTGCAGTTTCGGTAGACCGAAACGGAAATCGAACCGGTAAATTGGCCCTCGGTGAGAGAGAAAAAGAGAAAGAAAACCACGGATTTTATGTATGTCGTTTTTTTTTTTATTTTGGAGGTAATCGTTTCGATCATTCGACTGTCGTGGTTTTGTTTCGCTTCGAATAAAAATCGGGAGTGATAACCGGTTTCTTTTGTTTTATCTTGTTCTCGTAATTATCCAGAAAAAATAACGAAGGTTCAAAAAACGCCTTTAGTGAGCGGGGTATTTTATTAACTCGAATTTCCCCATTAAATTTTTTTACCCAATAACTTTCAGTTTCTCCGCTTCGAATAATTTCCCTCCTAACTAATATCCGTGCGACGGTTCTTTAAATCAAATTAATGCGACCGACGTCCGGCAGCTTAAAGACGTACTTAGTTAAAAACGCTCCAAGTACGAGCGGTACATCAAAAATTACTTACATTAACCAACTAATTTTATCACTTCTCGTCATTCGAAACGCCCTTAACTTCTCCACCGGCGAGGATTCGCAACAATTTTCGGCTACATCCAGCGCTTATCCCGAAAATCCCTGTCGAGCACCCTGTACTGAGGTCTGTCGTGCGTATCGCGGATACTAAAGCGAGTGAGAGTGAGACGGGCGCGGAAAACGGGGCGAGACGAAATAAGTAATAAGCAAGGTCGTTTATCAAATGGTCGTTCGGTCGTTTTGCCTGGTGGACGTGTGGGATGCAAGCCATAGCCATCGGGTCGGTGCGAATTATAACGAAACGCAGGCAGGACGAAAGGAAAACGAGACATCCGTTTTCGCTAAGAAAGCTAATTCTATTTAACATACGACGATTGTACATCTTACCAGTAGAATAAAAACGATGCTACCTTCACTAATAATGTTAACAAAAAGTTAATTACTTCGGAAAGAATGATGCTCCTTCAGCAAAATTTTAATTTCCAATCAACTTTATTATTACCTCGAATTAAAAGACTCGATTAAAACGTCTAAATTACCCAATCGTTTCTATTATCTCTTTCCATGGTCGAAATATAGTGGCAAAAATTTATGATTCCCGATAGTTGATTAATCGTTCATCGAGCGAGCAAATGCACAATTCAATACTAATATAGCGTCGCGCTTGTATTGGTTCCGATAATATATTGTGTAGAATACGATATTAATCGCTGGAATGAATGTACTGATACCTATTAGTTCGTCTACTATTAATCAGTGTCAATGTTGTAAATAAATCAAACCAACAATTTCGACAAAAGAGCTAATCTAACGGGGAACAGGAATAATACCCGGTGTAGGTATAATCGGTTTAGTTCCATTATTGAATACTTCATCAGCTCATTATACATATTACTATAGCATTCGAATTTTAGAAATACCTATAAAATTTAATTAAAGCATCTGCACTGTCGATTTTTACTGAAATCCAGTTATAAAAAAGATAAAAAATGGCTTCAATCGCTCTCGTTAGATCTCCTTGTTTCAATAGGAACAATCCAAAATTGCTACTATTGTCTTCGATCAATTTATTTGAACATTTTTTACAAAAATAGATCAAACAAATAAAAAATTGCACCTGCAGTTAAATATAGAGTCGCTGCGTCATCCAACCCTCATTTGTAAAATAGGTTTTGGCAGTGGAAGCGTTTTATTGTGAAAACCAATTCAGTAAATTTATTTACAAAATACATTTACGGGATTGTAAGGGACAATGGTGTTACTACCTGAATTTCGTACGGGTGCATCTCCCCCTTGTTGTACGTCGAATTCGTTACATAGGTGATTGCATAAAGGCTAAGAATGATTTTTAGTTACGTGAATTTTCGATTTTAATACAATAAAAAAATTAATTACCCGAGTTCTTATCGTTGTTTTTGTGAAAACTATAATTGAAGGAATTCCTACACACCGAAAACCTGAATTAAGATCTATTTACAAACAGCTGATAAAAAGTTTTAAAGTAAACAATGCGCTATAAATAGACGAAACCGAGTGTTAACGACTTTTACTAAAAAACTGTCGTACCGAATTTCTACGGAGCGAAAAAAAGCATCGTCATTTATTTAACAAACCATTTAACCACAAGTATCTGTGTAAAACAAGAACGTCATGAATAGGCCATTACAACGGAATTATACCATGTCAAAGTGTAAAACCCATCTTTACGCCAAACGGCTTTAAGGCGAATTCGTCATTGGTCTTTGTCACATTTACAACGCTCATGCATCAGCGATTTTCATTTACCATGGCTTTTTTCCATAACGCTGATATTTAACTGAGTTAAATGCAACGCGTTTTGATTCGGAGATACACAAAATACCTGAATTCCAATAAAACATCTTCATTTCTTTAATAGATTGCTCTATTCCCGCGAATGAGTATAATTATCATTCTCTACACGAGTGCCTCAACTCGATGAAACGCATATAAACTAATGTAATTATAAGTATACAGGGTGTCCTTGTTTCGAAATATCGCTAAACAATAGGTCATATTATCAACAATTTAGTTTCCTATAGAGCTTACTTGCTAAGGTAAATGTAAAGTATGTTTATTTACATATTCTATAAATTTAATGAAATTTGTTAAATATAATTTAGTTGTGTATTCGATACATTTTTTGGACACTCTGTACAGATCAGAAGTTCCTTCTGTTTAAGTCGTTTGGCATTCTTTTTCGTTCAAAATTTTCAAATGCCTGTTACTAAACTCGGAGGTTCGTTAACGTTCGGAAATTTTTCTTATTTGGAATTTATCTCATTGAAAATTCAAATTCCGAGCACTCTCCGTCCGGTCTTTCCATCTATTCGGAAGAAAAACGCTTGTTAGCCTATAAAAGCAGTGTAAAAATATAAATCAACCTTTATAGTCGAGCAGCAAACTGCTATTTTATACTCCACTTTACTCTAATAACTTTTATGTCATTTTCTTATGTACACTGAAAAAAAGGTTTAAATTAGTAAATAGTTCATAAAATTAATTACCAATTGTGCGTATATGGTTGAGATTAGTTTTTGAGTTGTTTTTGCACTGATCACTAGTAGATGAAGTGTTACCGGACTATATTAAATAGCGAGTGTTGAAATAAATCAGAAGTCCCGGCGAGCTGATCAATCCCCGGCATATTCGTGTGTACATTTTAAAAATGGCACTTGTAACAAGCCGTGCTTGGTCGTTACTGGTCGACGGTCGCACATACAAATGTTTTGTTTACCAAACGATGAATTTATTTCGTTTTCGAGCCGGCACGTCGACTATTTTATCTCGCAGGAACGTCGGGGATAATGCCTCGAATCGTATCGAGAAATTCGTCCGGATCGTGCAGGAATGCGCTGGAAACGTCATAAAATAGGAAAAAAATATTTTTATATAATAATAATTAAAGTTTAGGCTCGATGAGACGATTGATAAATCCAGTAGATGTTTGTTGTACGGTAGAAAATGTTCGCCAGACGAAAAATCGTTTGGTCAGTTACGAAGAAATGCAAGATCGAAACCGAGACGAAAATCGACCAAATTACCGGCGAGATTTCCTTGAAGTTTACCGATGTACAGGTACGTTTGCGGCGATTTTCTTTAACTGTCTAATAAATGTTGGATTTTTAATACGCCGAAAATAGATCCGTCCAATTAGCCGACATTTTAATTAATCTTAATTATTTCCGTTGTATCCGCACGCGACATCGAAGCGGATCAAAAGTAACCGACGCGGTAGGCTTATCTGGATATACGTTTCCGTTCGATAAATCATGCTCGATCGCAATTAAAATCGCTTCTTACTCCATCTCGTAAGCTAAATGAGCTCGATTTTACGCGAAAAAGATAAATCCCACGTGTAACGTATTTTGGAAAATGGGGAAGAGTGGAAAGCCGGGCGGGCCGTTTTCCGTTTCGATGAAAGCGTTTTTACTTCGTCGGATAACGAACAGAGAAAACCGAGCGGTAAATTGGCTATGTACCGGGATGAGCGAAGGGGCAGCTCGTTTACCACCGTCTTCATTCGATTCAATCAACTAACTCGTAACGGTAATTCCATTTCCGAACTTTTTTCATTTCCTTTCCTTCCACGCACAAAATCTACCGATTTTCTCATTTATAGTAGCATACATTTTTCCCAGTGTCACTAGTTTTTGCCCTTCTAAATTCCTAGTAGGCTAGGTAGAATAGCATCAAACTGTTAGATTAATGTCCAGAACCTGACCTGGACCTATTCAACAAAAATTTCTCGGAATGGGGGTGTTTTTTTTTTGTTAATATAAATAGCACAATAGTCTCTTTTCCACCTCTAAACAAACATTAGAGGTGGGTTTGTTTGTGAAGTAAAGTGTTATAATTCCAACTTACCTATAAATAATCTCCATTCTCAGTGTATATAATTTTTAAAGATATTAAGCGGTATAGTTTACGATTATCTAAAATTATTCTAAAATGACGCTTTAGAGGCGTATCCTGTTGAACATAACAAAGTTTCCGCCCAATTTTCGCTTTATGAAAATTACCCAAAATCTTCCTTTGAAGTATTTCACAAATAATAAATTATTACACTTCGTTTACTACTTGCGATATTCATTGATCTATTTTTATTACGCGGTTTTCCATTTCCTGGACCAAAGATGGAGTGTAAACGCTTAAGATTTATCTGTTAATTTGCTAATAATCGATTTTATTAATTACATAAATAACAGTTATTTGTTAGCGCCTCTACATGCAAAAATTGTCATTTAAATTCAAATAGATCCGTTGATAATGTTTTTCTAATTATCAAGGTATGTTGCAAATTGAATGTTACGGTATTTGAGTAGGACTTTTCTGCAAAACGAACCGTAAAATTCTATGCCTTGCGCGAAATTTATCCGACCGGCGTCAGACAGATTTCCCCGTCTTTTCAATCTGCTCGTCTGTCTTGCGACGTCTGTGTGCCTCTTAGTTTTTGAAAGGACCAATTTCGAAAGTTGATAATCGCCCGCTTGGAGTTTACTCGGAAATTAAAGGTGGAAGATAACCAAAACTCGAAGTAACCGTTCCATAATAACGCTCACATATTTAACGAATAATACGTTTTTACATCCGATAAGATAGAGAGATAATTCTCTGGATCGATGGGAATGCCGTTTGTGCCACGCAGCAGTGGCTAATCATCCGTATACGGATTTGTACACTATCGGATCACTCGCACATTTGATTCTTTTGCCGATGGTCAATTGCATTGTTGGGACACTACTGAACCGCGATCGAGGTTTCTCAGATGGACGCTTTGTGTTGACCCAAGAAATCCCGACGTTGATAAAGGAAAATCGACATATTAGAATCGGTTGGAAGGAGACAACAAAAAAAATCCGGGGGAATTAAGGATGTTTGCGCAAGGAAGGACGTTTTATTTGAATAAACCGTTCGATCGGTCAAGCACCATTGAGCATAATCGGCCAATTTTTTTATACGTGTTTGTTGGATATTTTATTATAATTTGTATAAATGAAACCTACCAAATTTTATGCTGGACCTAATGGAACCAATTTAAATTGTTCAGAGTGAAAAATGTTAATAAAGTGCACAAATATTTTAATTAAACTTTTAAACAAACGCTATTAAATAATTCGATTATTCGGAATTTAATTTCAGTTGATAGTTAATTACGCTAACCGATATATATTTGAAAATAATAACGTTCTTGTTTGCGTGCCTGCCCGTATATTTCAAAATGCGTTCGAAGCGTTAACGAGAAAAATTAACGGCTATTAAACGAGCCCAAAAGAACTTAAGGCATGCAAGAACGAGATAAAGTAAAAAATATCGATCATTAAAATCCCAATAAAATATGTTCTAATTACATTCTTAATGAGAACCGGTAATAGCTCAGAATCGAAAGATTTTCAGAAGAGAGAAAAAATTATTTTATAATACGCTCGATTTTGATTCGTATACAAGCGCGTTATTTTACGTCGCATTTAACGCTTTAAGTGGCTCAAATCGGCTATAAAGATTATCGATGAAAATAAAAAATGTGATAATAACAACAAATTTATTATACTACAGGGTAATTCACTAAGGTCTTGAAAAAATGAAACACATGGTGTAGTAATTTGTTAATTAATTTCTTGTCTTAAATTTTTTGTAATTAAGCCAACGATATACGAGCATAATCCGAAAATTCGAGACGATATCACGCGTAGGCGAATTAAAGGGAAAAAAAGTACAAGAAAAATCTGACACTAACACGTTAATACTTAGAAGATTAAAATTTAAGGAATTCCGAGGATTTGTGTGTTACCACTGAAAGAAATCTGCTTTATCGGCTTAAGGAGACTCGACGAAGGGAAGCCAAATAGCGGACCCCTCCGTTCCAAGGCCTCGAGGAAGAAATCTTAGTCGTCGTTTTTTATAATCATTTCTTCCTGCATTCGCCGTGGAAAATCGTCGACTCGGCGTCGCGACGGATCTGCGATTAAAAAAAATGAGAAATTAAATTTCATTAAGTAACAAATCGCGAAATTTAATACAATTAACAACCGCTTGAAAAATTGTTTGTATAACATTCGACGCCCACCTCTATTTATTTCGTAGGTAAAAAAAAATTAGGTCTCCGTTCCGGCTGATTTGGGGCCGAAATTTTACCTACCTCGATATACTAAATGCGAAATGACATTAGTTGTTAGCATGACAAACGGGCCACCCACGCTTCTAATGTCATGCGGTCAGGGAAATATGCATTTCGTCGTTCGGGGTCCCCGGTAACGGCTATTTTAACGACTAGCAGGTCTCGATTTCGAGTCTACCAAATTTATTCTTTATAAATTTATTCATCATTCGATTAAAAAAAATACATTTTCATAATTATTATACAATTTTTTAAAGAAATATTTTCCCACAATTTCAGGTAATCAAATAATTTTTATACACAACTGCGTTGATTCACCCTGTATAAGCCACCCTTCATTTTTACGGTGCGTGTTCGAGAGCGATTTCTTTTTGTTTTAATAATTTCGTCATAAATCTTTCGCGTTCTCGGTTAATTTTCCGATTAGGTCCGTAATTGTAGCGTTAGTATTTGCATAAGCATTAATGAAGTGTAACATTATCCAGAATTATGTCAATAAAAAGTTCGACGTTATAAAAAACGGTTAATGTTCGTTGATACCTCGCACATTATTTGGATTTTAGTGCGGGCAAATTAAAAACTTGTTGATAATTCATCTACACTCGGTAAAATGATAATAACGCTGACGAACCGGGCGTGAAAACGGCCCGTGATTATGCAAATAAAACGAACCCGGAGGTGTTGTTTCTTTAATTGATGGCGTTCTTTTAAAGGCCTCCGGTCCGCTTTTATCGTATTTATCCATGTAAAATCGCCCGTTGGAACAAGAGGTGTCTGGCTCTCTATAATTACGCCTCTATAATTCGATTACTATTTACAACTGTTGGTTGTTTTGATTATATTTTATGAATGGATAATTCTGATTGAATAGCGAGCGATGATGAAATTCTTGAATGAATGAAACGCGGAGTAAGTACTAGTTAAATGCGCTTTACATGTAGCGTTTTAATGAAATCGAATAGCTTAGGGAAATTATCATTTGCCCTCGAACTTTAATAGAATTCCGTAGATAAAATAATAGTAAGAAGAAAACCTTTTTTAATTCTTTGTTGTAGCTAATTCATTTTTGTTTCTTTTTTTGCAGGTAAGTGAGTTATAATGACCGCCTTTCGTCTAACGTTAAATTACACTTTGAATATGTAAGTAAGTAATTTGTATTTTCGAACATCTACTATTCCCTTTCGTCCGATAAACGAATATTTATGTTAAATATTGAAAAATTAGATCAAAGAGTTTTTCGAATCTGTCACGTTATGAATTCTCGCCGTCGACATTTTTCAATTTTATTACCCTCCTTTGTCAAAATACCTATTCCATAAATTTTTATACGAGGTACAGTAGAACACTTTTAAATCGAGCCATAATTTTATATAAACCATAAGTATCACAAAATAGCTAAGTTATACATAGAGAGGTTAGAATTTTAAACTAACTTTAAGTTCTAGTGACATTACAACATTGTTAGTTGGTATCATTGGATAATACGTTTAACACAAAAACATTTCAATTAGTAAGGAAGCTTAAAATGCTTCTGCCTTATTAGGATTGTTTAAAAACCAGACTATAAATTTTATATTTTCCGAGTATGTTTCATCGGTTTCTATGGTTGTCGTTACGCCCTCTGGCAGGGTTTTTAACGTTACACTGTCATAGTTATGTTCTTGCCCGCGTACAATAGAATCGACGCCTACTAATTTTCTTACGGCTCCAATTTATAGCTTTCGATTGTTTCCCAGTAGGTTTCGCAAGCCTGGTTCGCGTGGTAGTACTACATAGTAAGTAAGTAGATGCTGAATAAAAAGGGGTACCTCTTTCGGTGGCTATACCTAACGCAATTAAAACCTACGATCTGTTTTTTCTTATAAATTTAAGTTTATTGACAGCATAACCAGTTGGCTTTGACGAATTTTCGGATGGTCACATGTCAATTAGCTTTAAGCCTACTAATTGTAAGTTGTTT